ACAAACATTAACGTATCATTAAACCACAAAGCATATCACATTGTGTACCTATAGTATACAGATGACTGCCCAAAATATATAAATAGATAATCAAGTTCAATCATTACCGATTAACGAGTGCATTTGAGATGTCAATTCAGGCACACTACCAAACTTTTGCGTATATCTTTTTGATTGTATGCGAACACGCAGGATTATAATTTTACGTATAATGAGAATAATGTTACAGGGAAAATTTTAGTTAAATCTATTGATTCTCTTCCTGATGGAACAATCATTGTCCGCATCATGAGAGAAATGGATAAAAACGATCAAAAAATATTTTATGATCCAATTTTATCATTGCGCTTTATTCATCCTAATGGAAGTGTGACTGAAATAAATAATAAATATGGGATACCTGATTATAATTTTCATTATCCTATTTATCATACAGAAAATAATGGATATAAATCTGATGATAAATTCAATCCACTGGACTTTTATCCACTATATGATAACTATATTCTGGTAGTATATTCAACTGCCAGTGATTGGACTGATAATGAGACACTTGTAGATCGGGAATGATTATTGATTGGAATGGAAATAAAACTAGGTAATTTAATTTATCTTTTCCCCGGATATATACAATAATGATGATATCATGTTTTTATTATAGTGACATAGAATTCGGGAAATCTTATATTGATCGCGAAGAAGGTTCGTTGATGCCAAATCAAGCTAGGTTTACTGTGAATTCTGATCAAACCAAGGGTTTTTTGCGCTTTTCTCAATTAAGAAGATCGAGTGATGCTGAGTGGAAACAATATTTTGTGTATGTTGCTTTCTTTTTAAAACAAGTTCTAGCATCAAATAAATAATCTGTAATAGTCATTAGAATTCTTTTTTTTAGCAATTCTGGGAAATTAAGCATAATAGCTTCAGGCTATATAAAAAACTTTTTTCTTGAGAAGGATAATAGTGATGTGAATTATACAAAATTCTCGACTACTAATAATGACTATGCTATAGTATATCTCAGAAACACAACAACTAATAATGGTACCCTATTTGAGACGCATGGAAGTATAAATGCAATCTTTATCAGATATTCTATATGAAACAAAAGAAGATATAAAGTTTAATTATATTTCTTGTTTTACTAGTACTATTACCGTAGGAAATACTTGTAGAATAAATGTGAAGCAACGTTCAGGAGATATTCCAGATTATTTTTGCACTATTCAATTTCTTTCTTCACGTTTTTAATAATACAAATGATACTGAATATGAAATTATTTCATTACCTTTTGAAGGTTATGTTAAAATAGACCTGTTAAATGATAGTTCAAACATTACAAGGTTTGATCTTACTCTATATGATAAAACGGGGAGAATGGACCTTAGTAATATACAAATAGAAAGTAACTTTTTTGGA